TGCAAGAGGGATAAAATAATTCATGTGTCATAAGTGTAAGATGCCAGGCACAGACTTAGCAGCTTAATATTAGTTAGCTATTATTAGAGCAGAGAGGAAATCTGTGCAGAGCATACAGACTTCAGAGGAAGGTGGACCCAGGTTTGAATCCAACTCTGCCACTAACTGAATGTGTGAATTTTAGTCACATACTTCACGTCTCTGAGTCCCAGTTTCCTCTGTAGCATGGTCATTAGGAGGATCCAGATTTAATAGTTCTTAACACATACTAGGAGCTCAATAAATTGTGGTGAATTGCCCTCACTACTGTAAAAGAGGTCAGTTACACCAGAGAATAAGTATATGTTCCCTATTGCAAACAGTTATTCTTGTACCTTAAAAAATGTTTCTTTCTACCCAGAGAAACTGCTCCCTTCTTATTCCAACTTTTCTTAAAAACTTTGCTACCATTCAACAAAAAGAAAACAATTAGCTAATACAGAGGAGGTCATTTATTCATCTACATAATGGAAGAATTTCTAGTATGCTATATAACCTCTGTTCATATTTAAATGATCTTAGAAAACCTAGTTGATGGGTGAAAATTCATCTTTCAGATATCCTGGGGTTTGGCTGGAACCCAGGAGAAGCCAGGATAAAATGATTTCTTAGTGTTTTTTTGACTGTTTATGGTTGTGTATGGGTTTGTGTTTTAGGGCTCAATGAACTTGAATTGGCCACTGTTCTTTTGGCCTTTAAGACAAGCTGAATTCTACATAGGTATAAAAAAATCTCATAAAAATTGAGAATTAGGTTTATTGTGTCCAGGACTGATCTAGGGGTGGTAGGGTGGACATATGCAAGGAAAGAAGTAGTTGAGAGGGTTAGGGCAGGTTTAGCATGTTGGGCACTTCCTAAAAATGATGGAACATACTGGTTATCATCTTAGGAAACTCCTTGGGTCACTGATTATAAAAATCATCTGTAGGTCTTAAATTTTATTTCTAATAATGGTGAATCATTCAGAGCAAGAACTGCAACAGATTAATCCCTCCCGGCTCATTCTCTGGGATGCTCTATACTTCCTCTCCTGAGAAAGAAAGACCACTCACATGGGTAATAATAACTTAAGCCTTCTAGGAAAAGAATGCCAACAAAGAAATAGTTTCCCTACTTTATTTACATGAGTCTCTGTTTTGAGAAGAGGAGAGGAAGTAGAGTTTACATTTTGCACCTTTTAAAAAAATTTTTGTCATACTAATCTCTGTAACCAGCAGGGTGTAGAGGTCAGGGCATGTCCTGAATATCAGCCACAGATATCCCCAGACACCTAGATGGAGATCTCCCTTTTCATCTGAACTCCAAAGTCAGGGTTACATGGAGTAAGGGATCCACATGCTTTTTCAATTAGACTTTGTCCACTTCCTCTCTTGCTCCAGCACAGGGCAAGTTCAGCTTTCCGGGTCAAGGCTGATTCCAGCCCCAGTCAATCTCTCTTCCCTAGAGTCCCTTTCCTGCCCACCTTACATCCTCTACCTACCATTCACTAGGAGCAGTGGCAGGACTTGCCCCATCACATTCTTCTTTGGTGTTGGCTTTAAAATGCTCTGGTTGTGGTTAAATATATGTTGGAGGGGGAGGGGAAAGGGCTTGGTCAAAACACACACAGGCCGACTAGTGAGAGAGAGACCGCAGAACCTGCACAGTGCTTAGGAAGTACTAAGAGGCGCAAAGCCTGACTTTTCTCCAAGCCATTTCTCCCTGTGACTCAGAAATGTGGAATCATGTCAGTTTTGTGCAGTTCTTTAACATTTAGCACTGCATATGTTCGACACCCACATCTCAGCAAAGAAACTGTTTAGGACAGAAACACATGTCCATTTCTTCCTCACCCCATCTCAGCAAAGGACACCATCATCTCTGACTGTGGTAATCACAAATCTAGGAGTGTCCTTGACTCTTCCTTCCTTCTTACCCCTTTTTATCAATCCATCATCAAATCCTATATATTTATACCTTCTAAAATAATTTTTTAATACATTGACTCATCAGTAGTTTCAGCTGGGGGTGATTTTATCCACATGTTGTCCAGCAGCTGTGTCTGGGGAGGTCTCTCCCTGCACACTTAGGTGAAACCTCAGCCTAGACAGAGGAGGGTTCTTGATGCTGATTATAAAGAATTTTCAAACAGGTCAGAGGAGTATAGGTAAGGAAGAAATTAATTAAAGCTAGGGTAGCAGCAAATGGCAGCAGCAGTGCAGGCAGCAGAGCACAAGGAAGAGCAGAGGGAGAAAAAGGAAGCTCATTGCATTCCTGTTCAGCATAGGGCAGATCCCTTGCCAACTTCTGAAGCCAGGGTCACCTGGCATCTGGTGTCTGCTTGAATCTTCTGGGTGTGAGTACTAAGCCCCTACCACCCAAGGATTTGGGGGAGCCATAGAGCACTGGATGGGGTGAGATTATGTTCTGAGAACTTCCCAAAGGCAAAGAAAGTAGATTTGGGGTCAGGCTGCTAAAGAGCGTGATCTTACAGCTGCAGTCCTATCTGAGTCACCCACATAACAGTGAGATAGGGAGGCAGCAGGGACTAACTCTGCCCAGTTAGAGTATAGTGTGGACCCTGAAAAAAGACAAAGTCTTGCTGAGGCTTCAGAAATGTAGAGGAAGAACAGGGTGCTTGAGATTGAAACAATATAACAATGTACACCCCATCGGGACCCAGTGATATGGAAAAGCTTGCTGGCAATAGTCACAGTAGGCCCATTAGTTTACATTAGGGCATCTGGGTAACCTTTACAGAGATAGGTTAAAACATAACTAGCATTCTGCTAAACCTATAGAAAACTAACAGCTCCCACTGTAACAAGCATAAAACCCTAGACACTGAGACCCCAAGTGGCAGCCTTGCCCCTCCCTGCACCTGTGGGGAGTTCCAAACTTTCTCTTATCCTGAATAAAACTTTCTCTGTAAATCTCCTACCTTGCTCATTCATGAAGTTCATTCTTCAACTCTGTGAACAAGAACCCCAGTATCAACAGGAACCTGCAAGCCCATATCAGAGATCCCTGCAGCCCTTCCATCCTTGTCTGAAATAGAACAGAAAGAGTAAAGACTTGTGCTTAAGTCTAGAAAACTGAATGAAATAGCAAAATAACAAAAATGTTTACCATTGGAAGAGTGAAGAGACAAAATGCAGTAAGTTGAGCAGCAAGAAGTCTTCATTTAAGGCAAAGTACAGACTTGACAGGGCAGTGTGGGCAACCTCAGAGAGAAGGCGCACTTAAGGGCTTAGGGTTCTGTCTTTTAAGGCTCTCAAGAATGGGGCAAAGGGCCAGGGGGAAGCATAGGTTTGACATGTAGTCTCATGATGTTTATCTCCCATAAGAGACATTATGTCACCATCCATAGTAAGTACTCTAGATATTTTGTAAGATAAAGTTAACACAAGGAATTTCTTGCTCCTGTTGTTCTCCAAGACACTGGTTACCCTCAAGCAGTGGGGATATACCATTTAGGACTACTTGCCCTGACATAAGACAGGGTTAGTTATTGGTTGATTATCATATAGAAATCTTACCTGTCAAATCCCAGGTTTTTAAAATGGAATCTTAGCCTTAAAATGGAGTCTCTCCTTTTCTTCATTTTCATCATAGGCAGGAAAAATTAATCCTGACGCTTGTCCCATTTCCCTGCCCTACCTCACATAGACATTTTGGTTGTCCCATCTGGAGAAGTGCTCCTGGCACCCCCGAACCCCTCTTCCAACCCCAAATGCCAGTAGTGCTGGGCTTGAAAACCCTGCTTTGCTTTGCTTCCCTTGTTAGGACCATGAAATAGGCTCCTAAAAGATCTTCCTATTTCTCTTCTCCCCACTCTCCTACCCAATTGATAACCCTCTTGCAGCCAGAATGATCTTTTATAAACATAGATCTGATCATATCATTCTTCCCCTTAAAACCATGTAATGTCTTTCCATAGCTTTTAGGATAAAGCCCAGAATTCTCAACCTAACCTTTACCTGGCCCTTGGCTGCTTCTCCAGGCCCATCATCTCCCACTGCTCCAATCACACCGATTTTCCCAGTTCATCCGATCTGTTGTTCTGCCTAAATACCTTTATAAAAACTCTCAGCCCATTTCCCCCTTCCCCCTTGCTGTGCCTCCAGCAATCACTACGCTTCCTTCTGTCACTGCCCATCCAGTTAGGTGAGGACCCCAACATAAGCGCTCATGATATCAATTGCCTTTTCTACTTAATTCAGTCTATAAATCCTATATTTGTATAATGAAGTGGGTGTCTATCCTCCTCCCTGAAACTAGTTTCTAAGTTCCAAGAAGAAAGGAATTTTATCTGTTTTGTTCGTTATTTGTTCTAAGTGACTAGCACAATGCTTGGGAGGTACTCAGTAAATATTTGTGAATGGAATGAAGGCAAGCAGGTGGCTAAACAGCCAGAAGAGACCTAAAGAAGGGAGGAGGAGGGCAGAAAAGAGGACTGGAAGGGAGGAAAGAAGGAGAGAGAGAGCAAGGGAGCGTCTGAGAGGGAAGGGAAGAAACAAGGACACGCAGCCCTTTCGATCAGGTTACTTCCAGAAGTGGTCTGCCTCCTTGAAGTGATGGAGGGTCTATTTCAAAGGGTAATGTAGCAATTAAAGCCTTGGAGCCCTAGATTTGGATTAGACCTGGTTTGAAATCCACTCAGATTGTAGCCTGGGGCAATTTACGTCTCCCATTCTCACTTCACTTTCCTCATCTGTGAAATGGGGCTGGTGAGGGATTGGAAGATTAAATGAAATAGTGTCTGCATGGCGTTTGAAACAACGTCTGGCACAGTCAGCACTCATTATTAATCTTTGCCGCTGGTGTCTATTAATTTTGTAATTATTTGCCCTGGGCTGGGCTACTCGGCCCCCACCCGGAGGGCCCGCCCTCGCCTCGTTTGCCACTCGCCCATTGGCCGAGACACAGCAGCTCTTCCGCCAACCCGCTTGGCTTGAGCGGGAGGCGGCCGACAGGGCAGAGCCAACGGGAGCCGGGCTTGCGTTCTCCTGGATACGGTGTCAACAGCAGCGGCAGCGCGGGCTCGGCTGCCGGGGGGCCGCGGAGTAACCGCTGCGGACCCGAGCCGGGATCCGGTGTTCGCTGCCCGTGGTCGGGCTGAGAGACACCCGGCCGATGGCGCAAGGCCGGGAGCGAGATGAGTCCGTCTACGCAACCAGCCGCTCAGCCCTGTCCGTGAGGTCGGCGTCCACCGCCCTGCGACTGACTGCGGTCTCGAGGAAACCCTTTCTTCCGATCTGCATCCCCTTCCTGCCTTCTTCCTCCTACCATTCTTTAGATCTGCTCTTCCGGAAACTTCGACGTCTCCTTCAACCCCGACGCCTTCCTACGAGCTCCTTCCCTGTGTGATCTCTTTCCTCTACCCGCTCATCCCCTCATCCGACGACCACATGCCCCGCAGTCTACCCCCGCCCTGTTTCCCCGACCCCACCCCTCGCTCGCTGACCCAGTAGTGCTTTCCTCCACTTTTCATTTCTGCCTCCTCTTTCTGGCTCAGTATTCCCTTCAGTGACTTGCTGCCTCCCCCCCTCCCCCCCGACCTTTCATACATATCCCCAGCCCATGTTTGTCCCACAGTTTTCCCCCACAGGGCCATCAATTCCTGCCTTCTAACTCCTATCCACTAATTTTGGATTTACTTGCATTTATAGTGGCCTTTGAAAAGCATAAAGTGCAGCACAAATATAAGGGGGTATTTCTTTCCTTACACATTCTAGACTGTCACATGCACTCTGTTCCATACATTATCGTCCTTCTGTCCTGGCTGTATACACTCAGTTTCTTGAAGTTTCTCACCAAACAGGTGTCCTTCTCTTGCCTTCTCCACCATTTTTGAGCATAGCTTTAATATTTAAGAGTAGTATCTCCCTTCATCTCAGATTCTCCTTCCTTGTAGAATACACCCACAACACACTCCTTATTTAAAAGTATGTTCCTCTTGTGTTCTAACTTTTCCATTCATGTTGACTTAATTCCTTTTATTTCTGCATTTATCTGTATTTTTAGATCTAAAATATAGCTACACATGCTTCATCTTTGTAAAGATGCAGTTTTCTACCCAACTCACAACCACGAAGCAGGGCTGTCCTATTCAAAGTTATTTTTTAAAGGTTATTTTTAAAATCAAAACAAATGATCAAAGAAAAGCCTAGGATATAACCCTGTTTTCTATTAGGATCAAGCTCTTTTTTTTGCTCTGTTGTTCTCACTTTTTCTTTTCCAAGTATACAAGACCCCACAGTGCTTTCTGAGACTTTCTCAAGTTTGTTCAGAGGATTTGCTTCACTGAAAAAGTTCTTTGAAGGTGGCTCTTGAGACTTATGGAACTTTAGATGTACATTTAAATTTCTGTAGTGCCTGGACTAAAACTGTCTCACAGCCAATATGTGTTCTTTTATGTCTTTTTTTTTTTCATCGTAGAGATTGTTTTGGGCGGAGAGGGGGTGAAAAACAGATAGATGTGTTTCAGAGAACTTGATGACCTTTTGTTTGCTTTGTTAAAAAAAAGAAAAAGTATTTGAAATGTATTGATGGTGAACTATCTTTTCCCAAAGATGGGTGCAAGGATTCCCTAAGCAGAATGTTCATTTTGTCAACGACAGCACCATTTGCTATCCTTGTGGGAATTTCATAATATTTATTAATATTGAAACCAAGAAAAAGACTGTCCTTCAGTGTATGAATGGAGTTGTGGGTGTCGTGGCAACTAATCCTCCTTATGAAGTTGTGGCTTTTTCTGACCGGAAGCTAAGACCTATCATCTATATATACAACTTCCCTGGTTTGACCAGAAGGACCAAATTAAAAGGTATCCTGCAAGCCCCTTCCTCTGCCGTAACTGAAAGATTTTGTTATAAGATGTGACCAGATCTAGTTCTTATCAATGAAGGGTTTTGGGGGAAGGGTTTTGTAATACACATTTTTAAAGAAGGAATCAGGCTGATCATGGAGGATTTAATCACATGGGCTACAGCCTTGCTACTCAAAGCGTGGTCTGCTTACCTTCAACATGGCATCACCTAGGATGGTACACATACAGAAACTGTCCCATCCCAGACCCAGTGAATCAGACTCTGCATTTTAACAAGATTCTCCAGGTAATTCATATGTACATTAAACTTGAGAAGCACTGGATCAGAAGTCTATTACAGCACTAAAAGCAGTTTGAAAACCTTTTTCAGAACATTTTTTTTCTTTCCTGATGATTTATTGAAAATCCTGGTGAATTGATACTATGTAACTTCTAAAGATAAGTCTCCTAGCCTCAATTTCCTTATCTGTGAATGGGATAATAGTAGTATCTACTGTTAAGTCTGTGTTGATTACAAGTGAAATTATATGGATATATGTATATACATACAATTTCATTTATATAATGTGTCAATCACTGTTACCTGTGGCTTAAATTATTGCTGAATCCTTATAGAAACAGCTGACCCAGACCAGACAGCTGCATATCTACTGGAGTCTTCATCTAATGATTCTCTCACTTAACACATTAGGGCAGAAAGCTCCAGGGAGCTTGAGGCTGGTCCTAGTTATGTAGCCTTACAGGTCAAATACGTGTTTGGGTCAAGCCAGGGAATTCCACTATAATTAATAACATCTTATTTGTGGAGAATTAAGTTTTCCTCATTAATCAGACTACACTAAATAAATTCAGCAGATAACAAAGTTTAGTGTTATATTATGCTCAGTTAAAGTGAGAAGAGTAAAAAAAAAAAAACCAGAACCATTAAAAATAAACAGAACTTGCAGTAAAGATACAAATGTAAAAAAGACAGACGTAGAGAAGTCAAAGCTCGTACCTGTCTGTGGAAGCACACTGAAGAACAGCAGAGAGGAAGACCAGAGCCCCACACAGGCAGACAGAAGCACACACCCCTTGTCTTAGCATCCTCATAATGCACATTTTAAATACAGTGTTGCTAAGACTTAAAGTCATGTTTCATTTCTTCAACTACAGGTACAAACGAGAGTAGAACTTTGTATAGTTCTTCCAAGAACTGGAAGATATTAAGTAAAGTGCCAGATATCACCTAAGGTACAGAGATATGGAAGTAAGCTAAAATGATTACAACTCCCCAACTATTTAAAGTTGTTTGAATAACTTTTCTAATTACAGAGTTTCATAAGTTTATGGAATATTTTATGATTCTTAGGTCATTTCAGCTCACACTGGGACATACACACTGCAGTATGCTCAGTCCTGCATGGAAGTCTCCAGACAGTGACCTAATGGTCTTAATTTACTCTAATATTTTTTAAAAGCAGATCTTAACTTTGCTCCTAGTTTTCTATTCCTAGTCTTAAAAATCAGCCCCAGGAGATCACTTTTTCCAAGAGCTAAATGCTTTTGAATTATGTGAAAATCTTTAGGTAAAGGAAATAAACTCTAGTCTGGGCTTAAACTTAATCTGAGCATGATAATTAAATCCTTGTAATGGATTTTGCATTTCAGGCAATGTTCTTCTGGACTACACTTTGCTTTCATTCAGTTACTGTGGCACCTACCTGGCTAGTTACTCCTCTCTTCCAGAATTTGAACTGGCCCTCTGGTAAGTTGCAGCATCCTGCAGATATTCTTTCACTGAGTTAACATTTTAACCTTGTCCTTCTGGGTTTTATTAAAGGACAAAGACATGAAAAGTCTGTAACAAAGAAAAGTGGAAGGAATCAAAGCCCTAATCATAAGGTTTAATTAGTTGCTACTTTCAGGCATAAAGTTTGGCAGGGCAAAAGCTATATGAGACTTAAATTGCTTACTGTCCTCCTCTTTTTATTAATATGTTGTATTTCCTTTGTCAGGTAAAGAATATATGAATAGATACATAAAAGTTTCATCTTCAAATAAATAGTAACTATGAGTTATTTGCATATTTTCCACTAATGTTGAAATTAAGGTAGTCTCTATATAGAGCTCAGTTTGAAGAAATTGTTTTTAGACACATCGAAACAATTATATGTTCAGAGAGTAGAACATTCTACCACATTTGGCAGCTGCATAGGAAATACCTGTGGGCAAGTATTGTGTCTTTGCTGGATCATTTCATGTGACCAACTTCAAAGCTGCACTTACCCTTCCATCCATAATATAAACTTCTTCAGGCAGAAATATGTCTTTTAAGAAGTACAAAATGTTCCAACAATAATTGAGGATACACCTTACATACCAACATTTCTCATACAAAAATGTAATAATCTAGATTCAGAGAGCCACATTTAGTTTATGCAGTTTCTTTTTTAAAAAAGTTTTATTCAGGTACAACTAATATTAATAAACTGCTCATATATAAATTATGCAATTTAGTAAATTTTGACTTGTGTATACACCCCTGAAACCATCACCATAATCAAAATAATAAATATATCCATCACCCCAAGAATTTCCCTGTGCCCTTCACTGGCCTTCCTTATTGGCCCTTGCCACACATGCCCCTCCCCCGCTGATGCCACTCCCCCACCCCCAGCCCCCAGACAACCACTGGTGTGCTTTCTGATGCCCTCTGCATTAGTTTAGTTTGCATTTTCTAGAATTTCATATACAGGGAGTCATACATTATATACTCTTTTTTTGTCTATCTTTCATGTGGCAGCATTATTTTGAAATTCTCTTAGGTTGCTGTGTGTATCAGAAGTTCATCCCATTCCATTCCCTGGTATGGATATACCACAGCTTGTTTATCCACTCACCTGTTGGTAGATATATTATTAGTTTGCTAGGACTGCTGTTAACAAAGTACCACAAACTTAGCGCCTTAAACAACAGAAATATATTATCTCAGTTCTGGAGGTCGGAAGTCTGAGATCAAGGTGTCAGCAGGATTGGTTCCTTCCGGGTTATGAGGGAGAATCTATTCCAGGCCTTGCTCCTTGGCTTGTAAATTGTTTTTAGAGACAGTAAACATATGTTCATCAACATGTCTTCATGTTCACATGATGTTCTCGTGCACGGGTATTGGTCTCTGTATTTCCCCCTTTTATAAGGATACTAGTCATATTGAGTAAGGCCACACTAAATGACCTCATTTAATTTAGGAAAGACTATTTCCAAATAAGGTCACATTTTGAGATGTTGACGATTAGGACATCAACATATTAATGTGCCTGTGGGCAAGTAAATGGGGGGAGTACACAATTCAACTCTTAGAAGTACTTATGAGTAGGAATCAGCCTCTGAAGAGCAGAAGGAAGATGATTCCAAGTAGAGAAAGGCATTTGCAAAGGCCATGAGATCAGAGAAAATATGGTAATTTTGAAGATTTAATTAAGAGGTCATAAATGGAACAAGTGCTTGGCCATGAGAGGCAAGCCTGAAGGGACAGTCTGAGGCCAGCTCATGAGCAGCCTCGTAAATGAATAACCATGTAGTTTATCATCCAAATCAGGATACTTGTGGAAGTGACAAGGGCTGTTATTAATTAATACAGAAGGATACTTACGCTATCTACGAGCCATGCTAATGAGCACATCCTTTATCCTAAGGGCGATATTAAAGGGTTTTAAGTAGGAATGTGACGTGCTCAGATCTGTGGATAGGAAGACCCCTAGCCATACCATGAAGGTATATTGGAGGGATTTAATGAGAACATGAATTAGAAGGCTATGGTGGTCCAGGTGAGAGATGATAGCAGCACAGACTAGGGCTGTGGGAGTAGGGATGGAGGGCAGTGGGGGTCCAGGGAGTGTTGAGGAGGTAGCACCATGGCACTTGATTACTTGACTGAATGTTGGGTGTGGTGCTGAGGGAGAAGAACAGTCAAGGGTCATACCCAGAGTTGTGATGGGCAACCTGGGGACATTATGGTGCTATTCAGAAAGATATCCCAGAGGGAAGTTGGGAGAGGCAGACGGGGAAGATGAGTCGAGACAAGCTGAGTTGTAGGTGCCTGCGACAATAAACGGATGTGATCACCCTACAGAAGTGGCTTAAACAAGACAAAAGTTTCTTTCATTTGCTTAAGTCTGGGTATGAGCAGCCCATGGCTGGTATGGTGTTCCCTGGTGTCAGGGACCAGTCACCCATTATCTTGTTGCTCTCCCACCCTTATTGTGTTGCCCTCGTCTCTAGTCTAAAGTGGCCACTGCCCAAGTAGTTTTGGGAGCCAGCAGGAAGGGAAAAGGAAAAGGGAAAGGGCACAAACCTTTCTTGGAATGCATAGCCTGGAAGTTGCACACATCACTGCCACATGGTTCCCACTGGCCAGCTTAGAAGCAAGCCTCGTTGAGCTACAAGGCTGGCTGAGAAACATGGTCCTCACCATGGGTGACCGTGTGGCTGGCTAAAAACCAGGGGTTCTGTGACTTGGAGGGAGAAATGGAAGATAAATGTTGAGGGCCACACTAGCCTCTGCCACAGATATCCAGGGCTGGAGCTCAGGAGAGAGGGCTGGAGACAAACATTTGGGAGTTGTTAAATCAGACTGGTAATCAAAGTGCTAAAAGTGGTTAAGAACATCTAAAGGGTGGAACCAAGAGGAAAACTAATGAAAGGGACTGAAAGAGGACAGGGAACCTAATATGAGATTCAGGAGGAGCAGTTGTGGATGGAAGACGGACCCTAGGCATGAGGATTCCAGAATATGCCTGTGTTCTGTGAAAGCAGAGCCTGAGGCAGCAGCTCAGGAACCCCACCTTTAGTTGGGGTTCCCCAGGAAGGAGGAAAGGAGGAGAGCTCAACATAATGAGGGCTCATTATTTTGCCGGGCCACCACTTAGCACCAATTGACAGCTTTGTCTCCCAGGTGGTCTTCTGAGAGGCTGTATGAACTACGTGAACAGGGACAGTCCTCAGGCAGTGACAGACAGTGGGCTGGGAAGGGCAGAGGAAGAGGTAAGAATTTACCAGTTCCTGCTGTCCCACCAGTCAGAAGTTCACTGCACAGGGTGGTAACTGCTGCATTTTCAGGTTTAGTGAGACCTTCTGTGTGTCATGCCCAGGGGCCATGCCACCAGGCATATGGAGCAGGCATGAGGGGAGGCACATGTGCCCACATGAAGTCAGTCAGAGCTACCCAGTTGGACAGCCCCTGAGTCAGCGAGGTAGAACAGGCTCCAGAAACTGCGGAAGCTGAGAGGTTTGAGATGTCCCGTAAGAGGTGTGTGCCAGCGAGGCATATAAGAGTCATTCCAGAAGGCAGTAGTGGTGAGCTGCATCAGATCCCACAGACGTGAAGTCAGACAAGGACTGAGAAGAGCCTGCTGAAATTAGGATGAATCCAGATACTGGATTTGGAGAGGCTGTGTCAGTGGAATGGTGGTGGGTCCTGGGATAGGAAGAGATGGGGAGTAAGGAAGAGAAGGCAGCGAGCTTAGGACAACCCCATCAAGAAATTAGGCTCGAGGGAAAGGGAGAAAGACATGGAAGGGTAAATTTGAAGGAGGCTTTTTTACAGTTGGTACAGATGAGCACTCAAGTGTTGACAGGAAGGAGTCAGGAAAGAGTCTGAAGATACACAAGTGAAGGAATAACAGATGAACTAATGCTCCTTCCTAAGAAGGTGAGACCCAGCGCCCAGAGCACAGGCGGGGAGAGTGGCCTTAGGTAGGACATGCCTTCCACTGTGATAGGAAAGGACGAGGAAAGAATGATACAGGGCCTCACAGGTTGTTATGCTTGGTAGCAGAAATTTGGGGAATTCTCAGCTGACGGCCTCTATCTTCTTCATGGGACCCCAGGCCATTTACTGGGAGTAAGAAGGAAGTGGAGGAGTTAGAGGCTTTGGGAAAATGGGCAATATTGAAAATGGCTGCTTTTGAGAATGGTAGAGAGACCTGACCAGAGAAGCAGCAGGACCAGAGGTCGTACTGAGGGTCCAGTGGAGTGATAACTGTGAATGTATAATGTCACTAACACGTGGTCCTGTGATCTTTGTTCTCTCTCCAGCAGCCTGGGTTCCCAGTGGTATGTCTCCAGGGCTGATGGGTTTTGCCAGGCATGTGAGGCAGAAAGTCAAAAGATTCCAGGAATCAGCAACGCTGGTTGCTGGCTGATAAGATGGACAGGACACTTGTGATGGGGATGCAAGGACAGGAGAGCCAGAAGGGAGCTGAAAGACAGGGCAAGCTCAGTAAGCAGCAGTGCCCAGTTCCGAGTCACAACTCTGAATGGAGTGCTGGTTCCTTGCATGAGGGGGCAGCTCACATTTATTTTTTCCTCCCATTTCATTAGGAAAAGATCTTGCCCATGGAAGGGGATCAGGATATTCTCTTAGATGGGTAAATGAATGAATCCATTTTAAAGACTAATACTATGATTTAAAGTCAGGAAATGATCAGTTGGTATCAATGTGTATAGTACACCTAGATCCACACAGAGTACTAGTATATAGTAATTAGAGATTTAGACACCCATACTTGTTTCTCAGCAAATGCGATGATACATTCCACTTTCTAGATGTGGATGGATTTAATCCACATTTAATAAAGAGGATAAAATAGTGTTAGTAGCATATGATAGAGTGTTATTTTTTAAACACTCAGTTATTTTGCTTTTTTAGAAGGGTATATATAATTATTTATAAATTCGATATTAATATGGAGTAAATAAATTGCATCATAAGTTAGGTCTCAATCTATGTAAGTTGTTTTCAAATAATTAAGTACATGTTCTCAAGATATGAAATTCAAATGAATTATTTTTCACCAAATGCAATTTTCCTCTAAGGAACTGGGAATCAAGTGTTATTTTGTGCAAGAAGTCACAACCTGGTATAGATATCAGCCAGATGACTTTTAACCCCATGAACTGGCACCAGCTATGCTTGTCAAGTCCAAGTACAGTTACTGTGTGGACCATTGAAAGAAGCAACCAGGATCATTATCTCAAATCCAAGTAAGAGACTTTGTTACACACAACAGAGTTGTGGTCTTCATTTGCATTCATGTGATGTGACTGGATGCCATATGTGTGTGTGTGTGTGTGTGTGCGTGTGTGATAGATACGTGATAGATCCTCTCCTGTGATGCTGGGTAGAGGCAGCCAGCTGCATCTCCCAACCAGCCAGGTGACCCTGCAGGTAAATGACCCATACAATTACAACCATTCCATACCCATATAGTCATTCTGTTTTTCACTTTCAGTACAGTTCAATAAGTTACATGAAATATTAAACACTTAATTGTAAAATAGGTGTTGTGTGAGGTAAGTCTGCCCAACTAAGTCTAATGTAAACGTTCTGAGCACCTTTAAGGTGGGCCAGGCTAAGCTATGATGTTTGGTAGGTTATGTGTATTAAATGCATTTTTGACTTACAGTGTTTTCAGTTTATGATGGGTTTATCAGGAGGTAACCCCATTGTAAGTTGAGGAATATCTGTATGTTTATTTTACTCACAGTGTTTTCAAATTTGCACTAATTGTCAACATTTAATATTTGGTAAGATTTCCCATAAATATCCAGATTATGATATTCTCTTGAAATTATGGAACCAAAATTCTCATGTCAATAGACCCTCTTGGCTCGAACTGAGTGCCACCTACCACCTTTAGGAAGGAGGACACTTTCCTGTTTGCCACAGTCCTCACCTGGCCACACACATCACTTGCCTGACCTGTCAGTGTTCAAATTTACATTTCCTGCTTTAGATATTCACTTTGAACATTTCTGAAAATCTCTGTGTACTTAATGTATAACTGCATTACTCATCCTTTGGTGATCTAATATATATTTTAAAATCTACTATTTGGCTTTTATCTGTCTTTTTTTGTAAATCATAACACTTTCACACCTTGCTTACCACCCATAATCAGCAATTACATCAGTGATGAGTTTCTGTTAATCTGATTATTCTGATGTCTCTTATTTCTACAGGTTGGTAAAACTACCTATGGAAGACGGGACATTTTTTAATGAAACAGATATAATTTTCCCCCAGTCATTGCCCAAGGATCTTATCTATGGACCTGTGCTCCCACTGTCAGCCATGGCCGGGCTAGTAGGGGAAGAAGCAGAAACCTTCAGGGTAATCACCCATCACCTCTTCCAGTTTGTTTACAGTTCTCATAATCATCCTATGAGACATGCAGGATAGACAGGATCATCTTGGTTTAGCCCTGGAGACCACAGAGAGGAAGGCTCTGGAGATTTGAGTTTGGGTGCCTGGGAGGATGATGGCGCTGACAACAGAAATAGAGTGATATCCGTTTTGGACACACTGAATTTGTTGGGAAGGCCTGGGTGGGAACTGGCCAAGTGGACCTAGCACTGGGGAGAAGGCAGGGCTGGAGATGCAGAGGTCAGAGTCATTCCCACAGACAGGATGATGAGAGGGCTGGGGAGGGGACCTGTTACGACAGAGAGGAGAGAAAGGGCATCAGGGAAGAGAGCCGGAGAGGAAGCTAACTGCCAAGAGCTGGGAGGAAGAAGACGAGCCTGAGGAGGAGCAGTCACAGAAGCAGGAGCAGGTCCGGAGAGAAGAAAAAGGCCATGGAAAATATGGCCTTGAAGAAAGTTTCAAGGCCAAATTCAAGAGAATTTGTCAACATTCATTCATTCATCCAACATATTTTTCAGGCTCCTCCTATGTAGCAGGCACTGTTTTAGGCAGTGTGGTCACGTGGTGACCAGCCAGGCATAATCCCTACCCCTTGGAGCTTCACTCTATCAGGGAGACAGAGCAACACTTCCACCACCACCAAGAGTAAAAAGATCCATTAAATCATTGCAAAATGTGATAGTTATAACCTGATAACTGGGGAGGGCAGGAGGTGGAGGTGAGGATGAGGTTAATATATGGTCAATGGGGAGATGACACCTATGCTACAGGCAGGGTAAAGAGCGTTCAGGCAGAGGGAATTGTGTGTGCAAGAGCCCTGGGGGAAGAAAAGAACTCTGTGTTTGAGAAGCTGAAAAAAAGACCCATGTGGCTGCACCAAGTAATGAGGGAAGGGCAGAGCAGGCCGGGAGCAGAGAATAGCACATTCAGGGCCTTTGGGATGAACCTAAGGAGTTTGATTTAGCTAAGCCCCAAACTGTAGTATACTAATGTTTGTGTTTGAGCTCTAAAACACCAATAATGGAAGTAGAGGCTCCCAAATATCTTTGACCACTGCAGAGAAGGAAGCTGTAGATACTAAAAATAAATCAGTGTGGTAATTAGTTGATTAAAAAATCTCTGGCAAGAGAATAGGTGGTATGCTCTTAGTATTTCCTCTAAAGGATGACAACTATTCACTTTTAAAATTACAGAATATGCCTAATTCCTTCTAATAGCACAGGTCTTAGCGTTGAAATACAGCCACACTCAGCCACAGAGGGGCAGCAAAGTAAAAAATAGATCAGCCATCAAGGTTTACAACTTGAAAAAAAAAGTTTCTATGTTTATTATTTGATGCCTAGGAACCCACATTTCCAACTATCGCAGGTCTTTTTTCCTGCAGTAAATTTCTGTAGGAGTCCTCGTCTTTCACATTTTGCACCAACATGATCAACTCTGCATAAAATATTTAAAATTCAGGCATTTGTCCTTGTCATTTGAAAAATGCTATGAAATTCCTGCTTTAAATAAGTGAAGTTATCTTTTTTTTTAAATGCTCATAATAAACAGGCATCTTTATTTCCTAGGACTTTCGCACTTAGTGTATTTTAAACTGAAAACAAAAATTTAACGTTAAAGTTTGACATCTCTAAATCATATGTGGAATATTAATGAAGTGACATAATTTAAATCTACATTAGAAATTAATTTTCCCAGTACTTTTTCATGGGATGGGTAAATAAGGTGAGAAAAATGACTAAAATGTTGATTAATGTCTGAACAATGAGTGAAATCATAACCAAAAACAGACCTCTATGTCTCAACTCTATTCCTGCAAATGACAGTTCTCATTTCCTGGGTAAAATGGCAAAGAAATCAGTAATGACTTGATCTATGTAAGAGTCTTAAAAAATGTCAAGCTGTGGACTTTTACAAAATTACAAATATTAAATACTCCCATTATCTCTCTTGTAGCTAATACTAGAAAGGTACATTATAGGCCTTTAAATAGGCCTGCATCACATTATACAACTAATTTAAGGCATTAGAAATGGTATCCAGTAATAGCATGGGGGAATCAAAGACAGATGTTATCTGAGCAGCAACTGGATCCAAGATAATGAATTTAATCTCAAGTGTTCACTTTTCTTTTTCTATCTACCTTTTTTTTTTTTTCAAACAGTTGCTAAATAGGAATTCCTTTTATAAACTCAGGTATTCTGAGACATATTCAGATGCTTACAATTTTTACAGCAATATTAAGTTGGACTTAGATTTTTCATTTTTGGTGTTCAACTGATCAAAATGTTTGATTTATAATTCCAGAGGACTGAACAAGGAGGTGGTGTTACCAACAAATATTTTTAAACACTATTGAAATCTTTTAAAGTTCTCAGAATTAAAAACAGTTTCTGTTTATATAATCCATAATATCACATTCATTTTTAAATTGCACAGAACATGTTTATTGATGAAGGGAAATAATAGAACAGGTTTCTTTTAAAGTAAGAAAAGCCACACACAATACTAGTTTAACATACTAAGGCCAGAAAATTCCAAGTTTTAATCCTCACCTGTTGCACACACACACATTCACTGGTGGTGTAAGAACCATATATATGTGCTTTTTAAGCATTTTTTTTTAGCCCATTGCCATACCAGGTAAGAGTATGTCTTTTTGTGATTTATAGTATAAGATTAGATGTGGCATCAAGACAACTCAAGAAACTTTTAAATAATGGTATATAACTAAATAATGGCATTTAGAGGTTAGTAGCTCTTTTCCCTAAGAGTCAAATCTCAGACACACAAATGTCATCAATCAACAGCACTTTAATCCTCTTGGGTGGTCTCGCCCTTTACCCACTGGGTGATGAAACTGTTACTCATGTATTTATTTTCTGACCAATGAGGGCTTGAAATAGACCAATCACACACCTCAAGTCAATGTGTCCTCCTAAAAGTTTATCCTGACGAGTACTACTGTGCAATGCTCCTGTGGGATTTCTGCCTTAGTCATATTTCAAGGTCCATCCCAAATGATAATTTTCTTTCTCCACACTTCCTGTAGTCCACGGAGAACCAACTGCTTTCTCATCAGTGCTCACATAATATTTAAACACCCTTCTACTAAAACTTACTATGCTTCCCTATTCTGATATTTGTTGATACTATTTCTTCCCTCAATAGGTAAAATAATTACTTTGGCAAAGCCATACCTGTTCTGTGCTAACAGAAAGGGGGACGGCCTCTCCCTTCCTGGACATGAGGCTGCAGAGGGCATAACACTGAAGTATAACTGTTTGATAAGGCAGAGATCCATGAACTATGACCTGTTTTTGTATGGTCCCAAGCTAAGAATGGCTTTTACACTTTTTAAAGGGTTGTAAAAAAAAAAGGGGGATATGTGACAGAGACCTATGTGGTCCACAAAGCCTAAAATATTCACTATCTGGTCCTCTACAGGAAAATTTTGCCTTAAGTCCTTAGTCCATGTTATGTTTAGACTCCAGAGCCAACTTTTATTCTAGGCACCTCTCATAGATTTTGTACACTTCTTTTTGAGTTTTCCATGGAATTAAAGTTACATAGGATGTTTCATGAACCTCACTAGGGAGGCCACCAGAATTAGGCAAGGGATCCTCTTCTCATCCCCAGTGAAAGCTAACTAAGCAGAGGATGTAGGCCAGCCTCTCCGTAACCACTCAAGGAAAACCGCATCCACACCCTCTGAGGAACCAGGAGGGAGATGTGGATGCAGGTCTTCCTCCAAAAGGGCGATTTTACCTAGACAATGGCTTTCTTAGAGATGCCAAAAAAGTCCACCAAGAAAGAGTACAGAAGTTATTACTCAAAACTTTCACAAAAATCTGTGACACTTGAACTCTTGTTCTAGAATGCTCATTTTTTCCTGGTGATTTAAAATGGAGCCAGGAAGTTCACTTAACTGTTGATAAATGACAGGACCAGTGACTGTATATAGGTCCATATGCATTTGTTCCTTTTTGGAAACTGTTTTGATGGGTATTATTTATCTGGCTCTTAAACCATGACTGTTGTCTTAACACAAGGTTTCTAATCCTTCCCTGAAGCCTAAAGATGATGTATATCCGTTGCTCCACCCGACTATGCATTGCTGGACTCCAACAAGTGACCTTTACATTGGCTGTGAAGAGGGTCACCTTCTAATGACTAATGGAGATACCTTGAAGGTGACAATGCTTAGTAAAACAGAAGATGGACCACCAATGGGTGAGAAACGGCTTTGCTTTGTATCCCCATAAGTGCAACTACTTCTGGTGTTGGTTTTGCACTTGAAGATGGATGTTTTGTTTCCTGTTTTTCTCTTTCTTAGAGACAACTTTGATTCTTCATTCTCCTTTATCTGCTAATTAAGTTACCAGGTTCTGTGGGTATTCCTTGTAGCTATCTGATGTTTATTCAGTGTTCTGTGCTCTAGGCATTCTGTTACCATTCTATTTGCACATTTCATTTGCATAATCCTCAAGACAACTTTATAGGAGACACGTTTTTATCTCCATGATACAGATGAAGAATGGAAGTATTGTGAGGTTCTGAAACATGCCTATAGTCACATAAGTAGTAAACTGTGGAGCTGACACCTGGACCCAAGCAATAAGACTTCAGAGTCCAAGTTCTTGGCTACTATGCTGTATCCTTTCCCATACATAAGCCTGTTCTGTTTAATAAGCTGATTATGCCTATTCCTGCTCTCCAACCCTTCAACTCCTTTTCTCACAATGACCTTCTTTTTTAAGACTATCCACCATCTTTTTACATTTGCCATCAAATTACCCTTTACATTGCTTGGTTAGAATTTTTAAGAAATTCTGATTTATTCTGCTTAGATCTGGTGTTCATTCCTGGTCCCATCTGCTGTGGCCAGGGTTGTGCGTGGGTCACAGGAGCCAATGTCCACCCAACAGGGGCTAGGTGGAGATCCTTTGAGAAGGGAACCTCACTAGGGTAATCTCCCCAAACCTGTGCAATGCACTCTCAATTCCATTTCCTGTTTTTATTTCACACTTTGATTTCCACAGCAACCTTAGGACCGATTGCACTGGCCTTCAGCTACAGCTGACCCAAACCAGGCATCTCATCCCTGCCAAACTGCCCTCTTGAAGACTGCAACTCAAGGACAGCTCTGCATGATTTCAAGCCCTCTCTAATCTGATCCTACCTGCTTCATTAGTATTATTTCCTACCATTCTCCAGTATGAATGTTTGCGCAGCCAGTCATTTCTACCCATCATTTCAGACATGCCTCCAAGCTCATTCCCTCACTTTATTCTCTGAATCCTCAGGTTCCCTACTCCAATCCCGGCTCCTGCTGCAGTGCCCCTCATTTGCTCCCTCTCCTATTTCCTGACTCTCACTTCACTGATAAACCTGAGGCTGTTAGGTTCGACTGGCCTGCCCAGCCTCTCTTGTCCCTTTGTCATCACTTGTGCTGTCTGCTTTGGTTCGCTCCAATCTTGCATCCATCCGCAATGCCATCCCCCAGCTGGCTAGAAAGTAAGCCTCGTTGCTGGCCTACCTTTCCAGTTTCAGCTCCTCCCATGTGGGCCTTTTAGAAGTTCTCATCATTCCTGAGCTCACTCCAAATTCTGCCTGCCTACATCTGCCGCTCCCTTTGTCTAGGTAGCTACCTGTCTCTAGGCAGCTCTAAGATGCTTTTCTCCGCCTTCTCTATCTGGTGAAACTGTCATCTGTGGAGCCTTGCCTGTCCTCACCCCAACCTTCAGGCAAAATTAGCTGCCTCTGTCTGGGGTTCTATCACGCTCGTTCCCTTGTCAGAGCCTCGCCCTGGGCTATTACAATGCTCCGTGTGCACGTCTGTCTTTCTCATCTGTCACCAACTCTTTCAAGTCAGGAACTGTTTTACTCATCCTTTGGCTCCAAAGCTGAATCCCAGAGATTGCTGCAGAGTAACTCAGCACCTATATGTGTTTGTAAAATGAATTATAAAACAATATTTCTCATTTCTAAACTCCTGTCCCACTCATAGAATGTTATGTACAACTTAGGACTTACTCATGTGTAGTTTTATATTGTTCACTATTTCCTTCCTGTATACTGTTTCTAATCATTTTTGTGATATATTATACATGCTTTCAAATTAATATTTATCTAGCCTCTACAATGTGTAAGGCACTAAACAAGGTGCCTCAGAATTGGCATGGATGACAAACACAGAATCTCATAATCTCCACCCTTAAGGGATTTATATTTTATTAAAGAGAGTAAGACCAGTAGATAAATAATTACAGCTGGGTAGATTAACATATTATCATTAAAGAAGAATGTCACAAAGTGCTACAGACTTCAGGTGAGGGAAACAGACCAAGTGAAGTCATTTGGAAGGTGGCATTTGAAATGGACCTTGAAGGATAGGTTCACAGGCAGAGATGAAAGTAAGTGAATTTTTTGGGTGATGATAACTGCATAGACAAGAAAACACAGGAAAGGTTGAGATGCACGAAGTGGTCCAGTTTGGAACATGAAGTATTACAAAGGGATAGTGGGGAATGAAGGGACATCGCTGCCATGTGATCTTGACTGCCTAGCTAAGATGTTTATACTTAATTGAGCTAACAGTGGGAAGACANGATTTGGAGAGGCTGTGTCAGTGGAATGGTGGTGGGTCCTGGGATAGGAAGAGATGGGGAGTAAGGAAGAGAAGGCAGCGAGCTTAGGACAACCCCATCAAGAAATTAGGCTCGAGGGAAAGGGAGAAAGACATGGAAGGGTAAATTTGAAGGAGGCTTTTTTACAGTTGGTACAGATGAGCACTCAAGTGTTGACAGGAAGGAGTCAGGAAAGAGTCTGAAGATGCACAAGTGAAGGAATAACAGATGAACTAATGCTCCTTCCTAAGAAGGTGAGACCCAGCGCCCAGAGCACAGGCGGGGAGAGTGGCCTTAGGTAGGACATGCCTTCCACTGTGATAGGAAAGGACGAGGAAAGAATGATACAGGGCCTCACAGGTTGTTATGCTTGGTAGCAGAAATTTGGGGAATTCTCAGCTGACGGCCTCTATCTTCTTCATGGGACCCCAGGCCATTTACTGGGAGTAAGAAGGAAGTGGAGGAGTTAGAGGCTTTGGGAAAATGGGCAATATTGAAAATGGCTGCTTTTGAGAATGGTAGAGAGACCTGACCAGAGAAGCAGCAGGACCAGAGGTCGTACTGAGGGTCCAGTGGAGTGATAACTGTGAATGTATAATGTCACTAACACGTGGTCCTGTGATCTTTGTTCTCTCTCCAGCAGCCTGGGTTCCCAGTGGTATGTCTCCAGGGCTGATGGGTTTTGCCAGGCATGTGAGGCAGAAAGTCAAAAGATTCCAGGAATCAGCAACGCTGGTTGCTGGCTGATAAGATGGACAGGACACTTGTGATGGGGATGCAAGGACAGGAGAGCCAGAAGGGAGCTGAAAGACAGGGCAAGCTCAGTAAGCAGCAGTGCCCAGTTCCGAGTCACAACTCTGAATGGAGTGCTGGTTCCTTGCATGAGGGGGCAGCTCACATTTATTTTTTCCTCCCATTTCATTAGGAAAAGATCTTGCCCATGGAAGGGGATCAGGATATTCTCTTAGATGGGTAAATGAATGAATCCATTTTAAAGACTAATACTATGATTTAAAGTCAGGAAATGATCAGTTGGTATCAATGTGTATAGTACACCTAGATCCACACAGAGTACTAGTATATAGTAATTAGAGATTTAGACACCCATACTTGTTTCTCAGCAAATGCGATGATACATTCCACTTTCTAGATGTGGATGGATTTAATCCACATTTAATAAAGAGGATAAAATAGTGTTAGTAGCATATGATAGAGTGTTATTTTTTAAACACTCAGTTATTTTGCTTTTTTAGAAGGGTATATATAATTATTTATAAATTCGATATTAATATGGAGTAAATAAATTGCATCATAAGTTAGGTCTCAATCTATGTAAGTTGTTTTCAAATAATTAAGTACATGTTCTCAAGATATGAAATTCAAATGAATTATTTTTCACCAAATGCAATTTTCCTCTAAGGAACTGGGAATCAAGTGTTATTTTGTGCAAGAAGTCACAACCTGGTATAGATATCAGCCAGATGACTTTTAACCCCATGAACTGGCACCAGCTATGCTTGTCAAGTCCAAGTACAGTTACTGTGTGGACCATTGAAAGAAGCAACCAGGATCATTATCTCAAATCCAAGTAAGAGACTTTGTTACACACAACAGAGTTGTGGTCTTCATTTGCATTCATGTGATGTGACTGGATGCCATATGTGTGTGTGTGTGTGTGTGTGCGTGTGTGATAGATACGTGATAGATCCTCTCCTGTGATGCTGGGTAGAGGCAGCCAGCTGCATCTCCCAACCAGCCAGGTGACCCTGCAGGTAAATGACCCATACAATTACAACCATTCCATACCCATATAGTCATTCTGTTTTTCACTTTCAGTACAGTTCAATAAGTTACATGAAATATTAAACACTTAATTGTAAAATAGGTGTTGTGTGAGGTAAGTCTGCCCAACTAAGTCTAATGTAAACGTTCTGAGCACCTTTAAGGTGGGCCAGGCTAAGCTATGATGTTTGGTAGGTTATGTGTATTAAATGCATTTTTGACTTACAGTGTTTTCAGTTTATGATGGGTTTATCAGGAGGTAACCCCATTGTAAGTTGAGGAATATCTGTATGTTTATTTTACTCACAGTGTTTTCAAATTTGCACTAATTGTCAACATTTAATATTTGGTAAGATTTCCCATAAATATCCAGATTATGATATTCTCTTGAAATTATGGAACCAAAATTCTCATGTCAATAGACCCTCTTGGCTCGAACTGAGTGCCACCTACCACCTTTAGGAAGGAGGACACTTTCCTGTTTGCCACAGTCCTCACCTGGCCACACACATCACTTGCCTGACCTGTCAGTGTTCAAATTTACATTTCCTGCTTTAGATATTCACTTTGAACATTTCTGAAAATCTCTGTGTACTTAATGTATAACTGCATTACTCATCCTTTGGTGATCTAATATATATTTTAAAATCTACTATTTGGCTTTTATCTGTCTTTTTTTGTAAATCATAACACTTTCACACCTTGCTTACCACCCATAATCAGCAATTACATCAGTGATGAGTTTCTGTTAATCTGATTATTCTGATGTCTCTTATTTCTACAGGTTGGTAAAACTACCTATGGAAGACGGGACATTTTTTA